TGTGGACATATGGCCTATTCTGTGTACTGTTAGAATGGACGACGACAATGTATTTAATTATTCTTGATAATTTATATCTACATATAGAATTAAAATGTCTGCCAATTATATTGATACTGTATAAAGCATAACAGAAGAATGCGTTGTTTTATCGAAAGTGAAGAAAAATAATGTGAAACTGGTTTTTAGTCAAATTTAACGTACATGCTCAGACTAAAGAATAAAAATAATATCCTTCCGACTGATTTCGGCCACGGCGGCCAATCTCACTGAGACCAGCCAGCGTAGGAGACAGATAGACAGACAGACAAAAATTCTAAAAACTATAGATTCGGCCTCTGTATCGATAATAAAGTGTATTTCAATAAGATTTTCCAAAAAATATTCAATGTACAGATTCGGCTTAGTTACGATTTTATTATATGTATAGATTTTCACCTGAACACAATGTATTTTGTGACGTTTATAAAATCAAATAGCAAAAGAAAACCGGCAAAGTAGTTTTTATTTAAAATGATTGTTACCGAAATAAATTTATAAAATCAAAAAAGCCGACACTTTTGTCGGATACTTTTTTTTAATATCTCGATTCATTCCACGTAATCAAAACAGAGCATAAAATATTTAATTAATCTGCAAGACACGTCCCTAGTTAATATTGATTACATTTGCATGCGCACGACTTTTGTATTGGGAATATTTTATCTGTGCTTTTCAACTGACAAATAATTAAAAAAATATTACATACTAGCGACTCACTCTCGCTCCGCTTGGGTTCGTCTCTACGTTTTAAGGTTTGTATAGATTTCTCAGAGATGAGATATTTTCCCGCAGTAAAAAGTATAATATGATATAAGTTGACCCGGATAACCAACGGAAAATTCTGAGTCGAATCTGTGCATTAAATATTTTTTAGAAAATCTTATTGAAATAGTCATTATTCTCGATACAGAGGCCGAATCTATAGTTTTTACAATTTTCGTTTGACTCTCTGTTTGTCTGTCTGGGAACGAGATAAGCACTGGACAGATTTTGATGAAATTTGGTATGATGATAGATAGTTTTTTTATATAAATAAATAACAAGTTGACAGTTCCATAATGTAATAACTAAAAAGTATTCAATTGATTTTAAGTTAACACAATCCTATGTGATTCATTGTACGTGTGGGAGCGACCTTACTCCTAAAAAGGTACTTTAAAAAAAACAACTTCGACTATCATTAGAAAATTAACCTTACTCAATATTAATATGGTTCAAATTGCAACAAACTCAAGCATTTCAAGACAACGTAATAATGCTAAAAGTATAAATTATATTAGCTCTTATTTATATAGAAATAAAGAATAAAATTGTTTTGTTGATATATTAGATTGTGTCAGCCTTCGATCCCACGCGCAGATTTCAATACTTTTGCAATGTGTACTCTTAAAAGTTGTACTATGAGTCTATGTCTAAACCTCAGACTTAGGTAAAAAATAGACTTATGCCCGATTTCACCAAACATTTTCACCTGATTTCACCTAAGTTTAAGGGATCCCCTAAGCATGGTTAGGGGGCTGTTAGGGGACAGTTTCTGTTTTGCTTAAAGACGATCGTAAAACGAAATTTAATTTAGGGGCTAGTTTAGGGGACTTTTAAGCTCCCCCCCAACGTGCGTTCACCTTGTCGTGGTGGGGGGGCTCAGTAGTGCCCGGCAATCCAACCGGGCGCGAAGCTAAGAAACGCACAGAGAGGTTGCCCACTTCGGTGGGCGGTGGGAGGTGGCCCTCTTCGGGGGGCGGTGTACCTTGCGGGTTGCTCCTGGTACTTCTCTGATAGCAGAGTGGACTGTGGAGCAACCCCATGGTTGTGGTGGTCTGCTTCGGCAGACCTGCCGTCGGGGCGTCGTAGTTGAATGCGTAAGCGAGCCTGCGACGTCCCATTAAGACGGGGGAAGGTTTTGTTGGGTTTTAGTGGGTAGTACTGGCTGTATTACGCCGGTGAGTCCCACACGTCGTGCGTAAATGCATTTCCCAACGTTAAAAAAAAAAGGGGGACTTTTAAGCTAGGGATCCCATACGTAGGTGGTAGCTTAAAGGTTGTTGGTGAAATCGGGCAAGAGTGTCATAAAACTAAACACGAAGCCAACACATGCATGTTTTAAAATACTTTAAATAAAATTACCGTTTCCGATTTTTTCGCGGATTTATTTTGATTTTTGGTTCCCGACGTTTCGATTGTTTCGCAACGCACATGGTCACGGGAGAGGTCTAAGGTTTTAGACGTCTCAAAGGCATTATAATGTGGTTGGTACAGAGCCTATCCACAAAATAACAATATGAATTCAAAAATTTAAAAATGGCACCAAAGTACCTTACAATATTAGTTAATTTTAATTTTAAACATTTTTATAAATTTAAAAAGTTTTATAATTGAATATGGAATATTATTTATTTCATTTTAGCTGTTATTATTATGTAAAAAATATTTTTTACATATATATAGACATATATCTATACATATGTGAAGATTTCATTTATTTATATAAAAAAACGCTGTTTCCAAAAAAAAATTATTTTGCCTATTTATATATATATTTTAATAACTTTATAAGATGTTAATCTATACATAATCTATATATATAATAAAATTGTAACTAAGCCAAATCTGTACATTAAATATTTTTTCGAAAATCTTTTTGAAATAGACATTATTATCGATACAGAGGCCGAATCTATAGTTTTAGAATTTTGTCTGTCTGTCTGTTACCGCATCACAGAAAAGCCATTGGACAGATTTTGATGAAATTTGGTATGATGGTAGCTGGTTATCCGGGTCAACATAATATAGGATACTTTTTTTACCGCGGGAAAATATCTCATTCCTGAGAAAAAATACAAAAACTGCAATGTAAGAGTGTACTAATATGTAAAACCTAAGACTTTGGTTTTTGGTCATCTGAACGCGGGCGGAGCCGCGGGCAATGCTAGTATGTTATTTATCCAGAGATAACGAATGGCGTGAAACTTAGGTATTCTACGGTTTATTCACCCCATCGCCTACAACAATTAAATTGGTATAATTTTTTTGCCGATGATTCACTCTAACTGGACTTTTACGGGTCATTGGAAGCTACACTGCGAGAAATGTGTACAATACATCTTCCATTCGAGTATATAAAAATATGCAAAAGCTACCGTTTTTCATTAATATTAAAGCTAAAATTACACTAGTGATGTACCCTCGATTCGATCGGGTTCTCTAGGTTTTTGGGAGTGGATACAAAAAATATCAACTTTTCTATATCATGTCATCTGTACATAGAAAAAAATGAAGTCGCTTCCGCTGTCTGTTCGTTTAGATCTTTTAAACTACGCAACGGATTTTAATGCAGTCTTCAGCAATAGATAGTGATTCAAGAGGAAGGTTTATATATATAATACATGCATATTAAAGTAGAGAAAAGCCGAGAAATTCAAAGATTTGTATTTCATACTAACCTGTAAGTAACCTGTAAGTAAGTATCCTGGGGACGAACCCGAGCGGAGGGTGAGTCGCTAGTAGGTTTGATAAAACACGTAAAACACGTATGTATAATGTATTTATCTTTTGGCTACCGATCAGCGCCAATTTTTTTTTTAGTCCAGCACATAATCTATCTTTGTGCTAAATTTCAGTCAGTGGTTTCAACGTGAAAGAGTAACAAACACACATACACACACACAAACAAACTTTCACTAATAATAATAGAGTGTTTAATTTTCGTTATTTTAAATGCAACATCAAAAAAAATTTATGTCAACTTCGAGGTCTTTCTTCATACAATACAATTAAACTAGTCGGTATAGTTGTTTCCGAAAAAATCGATAATACATAAGTTCGATATAATATCATGTATCAATAACTTCTTTTTTTAATCGGTAATAAAAAAATAAGTTTGTTAAATAAATAAATATATTACCATTACCACACAGCACCATCTAGTTCCATGGTAAGCTACGAGGCTTGTGTTGTGGATACCGGATAGTTGATACACTACACATATATAACTTTAAATATATACATATTATAAATATAAATACAGTGCAAGTAAGAGAGTACAAACATTCGTGCTCATCACACAAATGAATGAAGCGGGACTCGAACCCGCAACCGCTGGCACAGCAAGTAGGGTCATTACAAACTAAGCCAAACGTATCGTTAAAGCTATAATATTAAGCTTCAAGTTATAGGTAATACGACTATACTTTTGGATATAGGTACATCCAGAAGTAAGCTCAAAGCCCCGACCGAGCTCATATACAGCGAAGCACTAAACAAACGGACATACACAGGCAAAACCGAGTGAAAGCGACTTGTTAACTTATAAAAACAATAAAATATCAGGCAGTGTGTCAGTATATACGTATATTACGGCCGTGAAATTCAATTATTTTTGTTACGGTTTAGCAAAAACCGTTTCCATACATCATTACAGCCTTTTAGTGCATTCGCTTAGCGACCATCAAATTTACTCAAGCAATGTAATGGTAACGGCGTTCGTATTTTTAGGGATCCGTAGTCTCTAATCTTTTGGACTTTTTGAATAAAATCTCGTCTTTTCGGATCTTTTCGGATTTTTTCTCGGATTTATTTGTATTTTTGGTTCCCGACGTTTCGAATGCTTTACAGTCAAAATAAATCCGCGAAATAATCCGAGAAGATAATTTTATTTAAAATGTCAAATATTCGCGTAAATCGAAGAAAGTATTATATCTATCTAGTATCTATACATACTCGTATATATAAAAATGAATGTTCATATGTTTGTCCTCTATGCGTTACTAAACCATTGATCTGATTGTGATGAAACTCTGGTGGGTTATTCTGTATACGTTTACAAAGGTTGCTGGCGCAAAAAAAAATTTTTTCTTTAGACGTTTGTCTTTTATGCATTCCTAAATCAAGTAAGTATTTACTTATAAAGTAAGGCAAGTCGCTTGTACTAAATAATTATATATTTAAACATTTAAAATTACCTTTGCCAGTGACTATGTGCACTAAACCTAAACACAGTACGAGTTTAAAAACCGCCATCTTGCTATTACCCACGAGCCGCTAGTATCTGAAACAAAAGATGAATAAATTTATTAAAACTTATCAATGGCAGTAGTATCTGTAGTATCGCGCTAGCTTAGAAACCGGGGGAAGTGAGTTCAAATCCCGGGTCTTGTACCTTTAATATTTCAAGAATTTAGCGTCGAAGATCCATTTTCATTTTAATATTATAATATTCATATAGCGTACAACACTAAAAAGCGTTTTTAATACGTATCTAATGACGTAAGAATCATAAAAATTGGTTAAGGCGCTTAGTAATTACGAGGATATATAGTATCAGACATACATACATTTGTACGTATTTACGTACATACAGGTCGAACACATTACCCTCTTTTGGGCTTCGCCGCAGTCGGGTAAAACATCAAAATTAAATAACTCTTAAATAAATAATCGAAACAAATCCCACGACTTATTTCTCTTTCACGTACATTGCCTAAATTAATTAGCCAATCTATTGTAACAAGTGTCTTTATACTTCTAAAGACGTCTATCGCAATGGCTGAGCTTCTACTTACTCGGCTATAAGAATCAAATTTTTAATTTGTATTTTGAATATCTAATTTGATTCTGAAGCGGATTTATTTATCTTTATCTATACTAATATTATAAAGAGGTAAGTTTGTTTGTGCGATTGTGAGTTTGTGACGTTGTAGAAGGTAATCTCTGGATCTACTGAACTGATTTAGATAAAATTTTGTAAAAAGATAGTTTGAAACCCTGGGAAGGACATAGGATACTTTTTATCCCGAAAATCATCCTTTAAGGGGGTGAAAATGAAAATGAACATTTATATGGGGAATCAAGCTAGAGACGAACCCGAGCGAAACGAGGGTGAGTGGCAAGTACGAAATATAATAATAACTAGCTATTTAAGTTTTAGCGTTTAGTACAGATTCCTCAGAGATGAGATATTTTCCCGCAGTAAAAAGAATCCTATAGATTGACTCGGATAACCAGCTATTATCATACAAAATTTCATCAAAAACCCTCGAGTGATTTTTCCGCGATGCATTTACAGAGAGACAGACAAACAGACACAAATGTTAGCACAGTCATCATAATTTTACATCTTTTAATTTAAAATATCTGTATTCATTATAATAAATTAAAATAAATGAATTAAAGAGCCAATAATAATGTGTTAAATAATAATTATTTATTAATTTTGATTTATATAAATACGATGGCAATGATGGCAACATTCTGTTGGCCTGTAATAATGTTAATGAACAAATGAATATCGGGTGTATATTCCATTAATATATAATAAATATTATTTTGTATAGATAATAATTATAAAATATTTAAAAAAATATTCAGCCAATTTAATTAAATAAAGTGATTTTCTCGATTCTGTCATTGAACTATTTTAATCGATTGATTGAATCATCCTAATATTGCTCATTTCTTAATCAACATTTATGAAATTAGGAATAAGAAAAGTGATTGTAAATTGTGAAAAAGTGTGTGTGAGTGTTGGATCGTGAAAGTAAAATGATTAGTGCAAGTGGTAAAGTGTTTTATTACAAATCGCCAACTCAGATGTTTAGTGCCAACTCAAAAATTCAAAAAACTATAGATTCGGCTTTTGTATCGATAATAATTAATTTTTAAATAAGATTTTCCAAAAAATATTTAATGTACAGATTCGGCTTAGTTACAATTTTATTGTATAAAGATAATACAGTTAACTTAAACATTACCTAATAAGGTTTTGCTCCATTAAAAAAAAAATTCTAAAATATTCTACCGATTTTTTATTTGGCACTTATCCCGATTACATTATTTTACGCTGTTATTTCTTTGTTCAAACTTTTGAAGTTTCTATACAAAATTCTATAAAATTTTTGACGACATGTTTGGCTCAGTTTGTAGTGACCCTACTTGCTGTGCCAGCGGTCACGGGTTCGAGTCCCGCTGGGGGCATTCATTTGTGTGATGAGCACGAATGTTTTTACTCCAGTCATGGGTGTTTATATTTGTAATATGTTTATATTTAAAGTTATATATGTGTAGTGTATCAACTATCTGGTATCCATAACACAAACCTCGTAGCTTACTCTGGAACTAGATGGCGCTGTGTCTTAATGTCCCAACATATTTATTATTTATTTATTACCCCATTTTAACTTTTTAAATTTGTAAAAAACCCCTAAGAATAACCCTTGTTAGATCTCAAACTATACTCATACACAAATTTGAACAAAATTAATTTAAGTAAGCAATAAAAAACCAAGCAAGAAGTCACACGTTATTCTCATTTATAACATTAGCACTAGTATGGATACGGTCAGGTGGGTGTTCACGAAGCGTTGCAGTTCGATATCCGAGTCATAACTAGTTAAAATAATTACTGTCAGAAGTAGGAAGTGAAGTTTATGAGATGTGAAATGAGTAATGGACAGATAGACGTTAGTTTATATGTCATGATTATTCATAAATTGTTGATAATAATTTGTAAAAACTTTCGTTAGAGGCTCTTTATATTGTTGAGTTTGCTCTGCTCAGTAGATCTGACTTCCGAGCCGGTGGTAGATTTTAATTTAAATTTAAAATGTACAAATTATATTTTTTTCTAATAAGATATTTGAATTGATAAGGAAAGGTTGAGAAATGGATATTCGAGCTCAATTTTTTTTATGAAATTCTACATTAAAAAAAAAAAACAAAATACTTATATATTAATTATAAGCGCTTTTTTAGTGAAATCAGTTTAAAACACGGTTGCTGGCAACATTTGTTGGCTGTCATTTTACAATCGTTTAATAATATAATAATCATAATGTATAAAAACTATCAAGTCTCATTATTCACAAATTGTATTACAAGAAATTAAATAACCCCCAACACAATAACTTTTCAACGAGCTTAAACACGATATCTCTACAGTATTTTAGTTAAGAGTCGAGTATCTTGCAGATTCCAGGTGACTCTGCAGCATCAGACCAAGGTTACCATATCGTCGCAATATCATTGAAGTAACGGGATACCAAGTTTCGAATAAAGAAGTTGCTCATATCCTTTTACCGTCTAGAAAAGAACTGATAGCCAGCAAACGGTTGAAGGGATCGATAAAAAAAACTAAATTAAAAACGGTTCATCCGTTTGGGCGCTACGATACCACAGACATATACACATATACACGCGTCAAACTTATAATACCCCTTTTTTGCGTTGGGGGTGAAAACAGAAATAGCAAGCTACCTTAGCTAGATTACAAAAATGTAATAAAATATTTATTATTGGTAAATCCAATTAAAATGAGGACTTCACTCACTCAAACGCATAATTTTTTTTAAATATAAGTACAGTAGTAACTCAAGTAGTCTCAATGTGAGCGTTACATGGAAAACTATCAAAATCAGCTTCTTCTGGTGCATTGGCGAGAAATAAAAAAAAAAATCATACAGACAGTACCCGAACTGAGTAAAGGTGCTTCCACACAAGAGTTAAAATATGTCAGCAAAGCATTTGTTAGTGAACATTTTATTGAGAAAAAAACGTGTGTAACAGAACAAAAATAGCTAAAGAATCTGTCACTTGAGTCCTGAATCCTGTACAGTCTAGTGAAAACCTGTTAGAATCAGGCAAGTTATTCTTCTAACGTAATCATAAATAATAAGTATAGCCTCCTGACCGAGTTCCCTTACGGCGGCCAATCTCACTGAGACTAGCTAGTAGCCAACTGCAGGAGATATGTAACTGACATCAGTGCTGTGTTCCTTTCTTTCACAAAATCATATTGGACGGTACTTCGATACAAACTGTGAGTGATCAGGCGTAGCTAAGTTTTCAACTCAAGGCTGTTACCGAGATTTCTTTTGATAAAAGCCCAAAAAATAGCCAGTAATTGGTCTTAAACAGGACTCGAATTTGAAACTAGCCATTGGACTACAATGCGAATTTTTCATCTTCAAAGCAAAGCAAGTTGTAAAAAATATTATAACTCACCCTCGTTTTAACGGTTAATATAGATTTCTCACAGATGAGAAATTTCCCGCAGTAGAAAGTATTTTATATGTTGACCCAGATAACCAGCTATCATCATACCAAATTTCATCAAAATCTGTTCAGTGGTTTGCCAGACAGACAGACAAAAAATCAAAAAACTATAAATATGGGCTGTTTCGATAGTAATGACTATTTCAATAATATTTCATATACAGATTCGACTCAGAATATTATTATATGTATAGACATCGATGTATTCACTTTGTAGTATGTAATCACAGTATGACCTGAATGTACCAGACGTACTAATTTTATTCATAAGTATAAATAAAGTCATTGGAAACGGTCAAAAAGGTCCGGCCCTCTATTAAGCCTCGACCATAAAACTTCATATTTAAACTTTCAATTATATAAATTATAAGTTTTAATAGCAAATAAACTTTAAAATCTACTATTTCTATCACTTTTAACTGCTCAAAAGTAAATTGTTTATTTTAAATTATCTTTTTCATATAGCTTCGCACGAGCGTTCAATTTTTCCTTTATACTTATATCGCCATTACTTTTTATTGTTAGTAAATCCCAATGTAAAAATACTTCATACGGAAAAAAATTTATCCCACGGGAACCTTTTCTTTCCCGGAAATTTTCTTAAACGTTTCGCTAAATTTTCTCGTTTCTTTGATCTAAAAAAGTTCTTCAAAAAGGAGGATATACTCAATTCATGTATATAATGAATATGTGGTAATTTTGAAATCTAGATATCGGTCTAAAATATCGATTTTGATAAAATGTAATTAAAGTTTTTCAGTAGTGCTTGTAAATAATCGATTAGAGTAAAATATTTTGAGCTTGGACAATTTGAGTCGTTATCAAAATTGAATATGATTTAGTAAAATATTCTATCTATACAGATAAAAAAAAATTGAAGTGTCTGTTTGTAATGCTAAAATAACAGCTTTTTACTAAATGGATATGAAATTATATACGAAAGTTATAACAAAACTTTTAAATTTTTTGTC